TATATATGCATATGTAGTTACTGAAAATAGCCATATAAAAATGGACTTTCGTGCTCTCATGTACACCATTAAATCACATTTAACCCTGGGAAGTTTATACCACATTCAATCAAGAATGACGTTTGACATATTCTGTCAGCTTGAAGCTCCAGCACAAAAACAACATAATCTGCTTATTTACTGCCTCAGTATTTCTCTCAACTCAGGGATGTATAGACATAGCTACAGCACTCACCTGCAGGTTGTCACACATCTCCTGGCTGTATGTAATTCTCTGAATCTCTGTGGGAGAACTGAGATAAAGCGCCTGCCCCCCGTTGGTGAAACAAAATGTTCTAGCAATGCGCATGTCTGTCAGAGGCAGGTAATTGACGTCCATCAGCGGTCTTAAACTGGGCAAACTGTGAACAGATTGACAAGAACGAAAGACGTGTTAGACGCCAGGGTTGCTTGGGTAATAATAATTAGCTGTGCCCAGCAAAGAGAGCCCAACCACAGGAGAGAATCAGGTGATACTGAAGTCAGACATGTAAACTGCTGCCACCAAATAGCTTCCAAATGAGTGGAGAAGTCTGATCTCTAACGCAAATTTTCATAGTGCTAAAAACATTATGATGATAAATAATCCCTGATGTATTGGTAAGGCTTTATTTTATGGTACCCTTATTACCATGCAATTACAAGGTAATAAAAACAATGCAATTTAATGTAATTACTACCTTATTACCATACAATTACGTGGTAATTACGGTACTAAAGAAAAACTACTGTTAGTAAAACTACCTTTATTGGGTTACTACAATCAAATTACTACTCAATAGTAACTCAACACTATATTTATAACCAAAAGAATGCAACTAAATGTTGGGGTTAGTGGTTAATTGCAATAAAAATATAACTTTAAAACTGTCCAAATTACTTATTTAGGTATTACATAGTGAATTGAAATACATTACCAGGTAAGTGCTACATTACTGCAGACAATTACATAATTAAATTGTATCCTAATTACCACGTAATTACATGGTAATAAGGTAGTAATTACATTTAATTACGTATTTTTATTACCTTGCAATTGCATGGTAATAAGGGTACCATAAAAGAAAGCGTTACCAACGTATTCTTCTCATCCAGAAGGAGAACGCTTCCTGACGACCTGATTCAACCTTGTAAGGTTGATCAGTACTTGTGCTGAATATCAAATGGATGTTAAGGCCTTGTCACATTATGTTTTAGACAAAAGTTTGTAGATGGTGACATTGAAGATGGAATAAAAAATCAACTGGAATCTTCTTGTAGGCATGTGCATACTTTCATGCTAACAAATTGATCAAGTATCTAACTTTTATTAGTCATTTAGTGGAAATCTTATTATCATAAGTTGGCATAAGTTGTCTAAGACATTGCAGTGTGAATGGGCCTTTAATAAAATCTCTCATAAATTGCTTTAAATTAAAAGAAAATTAGTGAAACTCTCTGAAAGTAATCATTAAATGTTCATCAACTCATTAACATTTGGAGTCAATCCAATTCAAAATGCCTGCCGCAGCTAATCAAACTTAGCCAACTCTATAATAGACGTATCGCAGTCAATTTTTACAGATATTGAGCTCATTTTGGTGTGATAGCAGCTGAAAGTCATCCTCATCACATCCATTTAGGGAGCTCCCACAATATTGTATTGTATTTTGCATAATGTCATTTTCTCAGCATAGTTGTCAAAACTCTGGCGTAAAAAAAGCAGTGGGTGACAGAGTARTTATGCTTATTTTGATTTACTGAAAAACGTAAAACAAACTGTTAGTCGATAAAAGGAACATCCACACGCAGCTAGCTCAATRATATCACTGTACCTGAGGGTCATGACATGTCCGTTAGCACAGAAGCAGGCCAGGCACACGCTGTTGTACACAGATACCACGTCGGCTCGCAGTACAAAGGAGGACTCTGTGATGTTGTGGACAAAGAGGCAAGTCTGCGAGGGCATCATGAAGACTTTGGCCTGCCTCTCGGAGCAAACCACGGCCAAATGTCCCTCTCCGTAGGCTTCCTGAGAGGACGATGGAGAAAAGTGGACCAGTTTGCGCTTCCKCGGTCTGTCGGGGTCCTCCGGGGCATTTAGGTCCCGCCAAACCTCGTAGGGGYTCTGAATGAGGACTCCCATGCAGTCCAAAAAACCAAAGCGTAACACAGAGCCCTTCAGCATCTGGACCGCACCTAGAAGAGTTCAGATGGAGTCAAGAAAACAGGAGACAGGACTTGAAAAAGAAGACAGGGTGGTTCTGGATTCCAAATATTAGGATCTGACAATATTTGCGTGAGTGAAAAATGTAAGAACAAAGAGGTTCTATTGCATACAAAGTAATCCACATACTCTTAAGCTCACTGACAATTTTGAAAACACTCCACAAGAGTACTTAAAAAAATGAAAACTTGGTGAATTTTCAACATTTTCTTTTTGGTTGGTGAGTCATCCCTTAGAACTGAATCTGTGACCCTCCAGTAATGAGCTCACGTACATTTAGTCTCGAGAGAGCAAGTGCTGCTTTGAAGAGCACAGACTTTTGGAGCCTATTGATGTTTTCTCTTTTTTTTTAAACAGGTGCTTTTTTATTTGCAAATTATGGCTTCTGGTCTAGTAAGGCATGTTTGACACTTTGTCTAATCACACTGGGTAAAAAAAGAGAGAAAAAACAATGAGGAAACAAAAGCTGAGCTTTTTAGTAGAGGCTGTATTTGCAAAAAAAATAAATAAAACATGAACTGTGAATGCATGTATGATTTCAGGTTTTTTTTTTTTTTTACTTAAAACAAATAAGGTTAGCCATAATTTGTGTACAAGTTAAGCTATTTCAACAGCAAAACTCCTTGAAGAGATTTGCTTCTATTCCACCCGCTTCAGATGTTATCATCCATTAAATGGACATTATTAGCCATTATYAGTCCCATAGAATGGCTTCAGACTGTCAGCTGTTCAATGAGGCATAAAGCCACTAAGGTTAATTTTAGAGAAAATGACATGGGCTACGATAAATTAGACCAGACTCTGYGGTTGCAAATTGTTGCATTCCAACGTATATGGCACTGGTAACCCACTAGGGGGCACTTTCGGGACAGTCTGAAGCCATTCTATGGGACTGATAACTGCTAATAACGTCCATTTAACGGACTGATAACATCCAAACTGGCTGTTCTATTTTCAAACCATTCCTCTATTTAAACATAAATTTTAGGAGTTTTATTGGACTTATTGAGCATTTTTTTGAGCATATGAAAAATAACAGTGTCGAAATAAGTTAGTTTTTTATATATATCAAATCAGATAATTTGACTGAATAAATAGTTTTACTTTCTTGACAAAACCAACCAGCTGCATATGATGGTAAAATCCAATCTACTAATAATTTTCTGTATTTTAACTTCATCACGCCAATTTTCTAAGGTGATTTGTGCTTTTTTGTGCTTCAGCTAAATGAACAATCAATGCACGTTTTAATTTACCAGAATTAGTCAGGTCAAATTGGGTTTTGACCTTTTCAGCTCCGTCGATTGTTGCTGCATTGTGTTCCAGCTGAAATGTGGTTACTTGTGGATACAGTTTTAAACAATGCCTCTAGTAGGTGCTTGCACCTGGACTATTTTTAGCTGAAGCCCTGTCAAGCTGCAATGAATATGTGATGGAGTCAGGAGGGGAAAAGTAAATCAGCAACATTTTTTTAAACAAACAAACAAAAAAATATATTTTTACATTACCACAACTCTGTAACTACTTAACATTATCGTCTACTGATGCTTACCACTAGGACCGATGGTGACCGGCTCCTCCATCCTTTCCTCCTGGTCGTAAGGGATGGACAGTGGGATGAGCAAGGCCACTCCTAAGCTAGTGCCCACCCACAGACATGGTGTGGGAAGGGCATCGCTCTTGCGTCCGAATGACTCTCCAAACTGCAGCGTGGTGACGGCCTCTTTAGTGTCCCGGTCGATGCTGGACACACTAGAGCTGCGCGAGCGGCTGAAGGAGTTCTCACGACTCTCTGCAGCAGCAGCAGCGGCCCCCAAACACAGAGGCATGGTACAGGCAGGAAGGATGCACGAGGAGAGAGATGGGAAGCAATGATAGAGAGAGGAAGAACAAGAAAGAAAAGAGAGAAATGAATGTGTTGGAGGAGGCGGAGGAGTAAATGGCAAAATGGATCAGAGATTAAAGTTAATGGCAGGATRATAAAGAATGGACGTATGAAAAGACAAGCAGTTTAAAAGAAAAAAAAGAACACATAGTAAGGAGAAAGAAGTGAAGACACATTTTAAAAAGTCAAAAATGCTTTGTCTATGGATTGATGTAAAAACACGGCAACAAAAACGTCATTGAATGGATGTGTACACTGAGAAGCAAAGTGATTAATCGTTACAAAGAAACAGCTGGACACACACACACACATCACACACACACACACACACACACACAC